AACCAATCAATACCATTTCCCACACTTCACTTCTGTAATGCTTCACAGGATTACAGGTGATTAACTGCAGAAGAATATGTCAGCAGCAAAATTAGTGTTATCTGTGACCCATGTTTATTGGTTATTTAATTCTTATAAGTCAAATTATTTTGACTTAATGTGATTCTAAATTATATTAAAACTACCCAAACCAGAACCAAAATATTCGTTAAGATGTAAAGCTCCAATATTCATGATGAAAGAACTTTACCTTAGGTTTATCCTTTGTCATAAGTTAACTGTATCACCTACAGTTATAAATCTGTATAATTTAAAACATGAGAAAGAAAATTTGTTCATCTTAGTTGACCAAAGTCCCTGACTGAAGGAAAGTCCAGGCTTTAGCATATGTTGTTTTAGATGAAAATTGACTCTGTAGAGTGATCTTACAGCGCGATCAGGGGTCTGTGAACCTGGGCAAAACAAAAACAAAAAGCAAACCCACTACCACAATTACCAGATTAGACAAACACACATACACACACAACAAACTAACCTGGGGAGACACAATTCCGGGAGTTCTGGTGGATAAGGGCTCACTGGCGCTGGGGAAGTGATCTGCTGTAGGTTCTCTGGTTGGATCAGCCACACGGGATGCTCTCCTGAAAAAGAGTTCTGAGGACAAAGAAATTTGAGCATATTCCACTCCTCCTTGGACCTTCCCTATGCTTGTTAGGATATTAGAGCCATTGAGAACTCTAGTAAAGACAAATGACCATTTCTGCTTCTCCAGTATTTGCTAACACTGTGTGACTGTGGGCTTCTTCCTCACTACATTACATTTATTAGCATTGAATGGAATTTGTTTCTTGAAACATCTTTGGGAAGTGCTGACCCTTGAAGGGTAAAAAGGCTGAATATGGAAGGAAGAAAGAATCTGCACAAAAGAAACAGAAGAAAACACTTAACAGAGAACCCAAACTCCTGGCAGGCGCTAGTGTCCTCTAGTGCCCGCTGTACAGTGACTGAGATGTCCATTTAACTCTGTCGTTAGAATTCTCTTAATTCCCTCAGGATGGGAAAAGAACTGCGTTGGAAGTGAGGAGTCATGGATTCCGTCCTCCCCTCCGCAAACTGCCTTTGGGTAATTAACTTCCCAGGCTGCATCTCATTTTTCTCAATTGTAAAATCAGAATCTAAGGAAATGATCTCGATCGTCCTTTCTAGGCCCAATTAGATGATTCTATCTCAACTATCATAATGGAAGAAAAAGAGAGAAAATCCTTTCCCTGACAACAATTGTCTTTACGATCTTTTCTGGAATGCAAAGGGAATGATGTATGAAACAGAAATCCTATAGTACAACTATATGTGGAGAGGTGATTCTTAATCCTCATTATTCTGTCCATTTTGATGGATGATTGAGAGTCATAGGAGGCAACTTGGAACAAACCTGGTTTTAGTATTGTACTTGCTGTCATTAAAGAGTTTTTTTTTTTTTAAAGAACACTCCAGAAATGTTCAGCAGCTAGGTCTTTAATTAAAGCCAAAGGACAACTTTAAAATTGGTTCTTTTAATTAATTGTCCTTCAGGTTGTACATTCTGTGACTACACTATTCTTGGTTATTAAACAGTTTGTACTTCAAAAAAAAATCAAGATGTGGTTGAAATGACTGATTTAAATGAAGCTAATCTAAAAATATGGAGAAATACGGTAGGGCAAATTATTACACAAAAGTGTCTATGTATTTTGCATATGTCAGTATTTTCCCTTTAATAGAAAATAAAATTAAATTAATTAGAAGGAGAAATTATAATTGCCAGGAAAGCTAAATCATTGATCTGATGCCACAAATCAGCTGACAGTTACTTTTCTGTAATTCCTGGGCTCAGTAATTAAATACTAACTTAGAGATTGAAGAGACTTGAAGTCACTTACAAGTTGTATCCTGAATTATATGAAACTGAATCAGTCCCAAAATTGGTATCAAATTATCTTAAGATGTGTTTCCATATTGAATCAAACTATTTTTTTCTGGATCCAACTGAAACAGTCAGTTTCTGATATAATGTTCAGTACACATTTCATGTACAAGGTAGAAATCTGGGTCTTGAAAATGGAAGCTAATAATAATATAAACTTCCTCACTGACACATGTGCCATTAGGCAAATCTGCCCTCTCATCATGTTGGACCTAATCTGTAACAGTGGTTCTCAAGCACGACTGCACATTAGAATTGCCAGGGGAGGGTCTTAACATTTTCCAATGCCCTAGACAAAGGAACCCTCCTACATTGTTGGTGGGAATGCAAATTGGTGCAGCTGCTATAGACAACAGTATGGAGGTTCCTTAAAAAATAAAGAATTGCCATTATGATCCAGCAATCCCACTCCTGGGCATGTATCTGGAGAAAACTAATTCGAAAAGATACATGCACCCCAATGTTCATGCCAGCACTATTTACAATAGCCAAGACATGGAAACAACCTAAATGATGAATGGATAAAGATGTGGTGTATATATATACTGCTCGGCCGTAAAAAGGAATGAAGTAATGTCACTGGTATCAACATGGACAGACTTAGAGATTATCATACTAAGTGAAGTAAGTCAGTCAGAGAAAGACAAATATCATATGGTATCACTTACACGTGAAATCTAAAAAAAAATGACACAAACTTACTTACAAATCAGGAGAAGACTCCTATACATAGAGAACAAACTTGTGGTTACTGGTGGGGGAAGGGGGAAGAGATAAATTAGAAGTTTGGGAATGGCAGATACAAACTGCTATGTACAGAATAAACAACAAGGTCCTACTGTATAGCATAGGTAACTATACCCAATGGCTTATAGTAACCTGTAATGAAAAAGAATACATATATATGTATGCATAACTGAATCACTATGTTGTATACCAGAAACTAACACAACATTATAAATCAACTATACTTCAATTTTAAAAAATGGGGGAAAAAAAGAAAAAAAATCCCCAATGCCCAGATTGTCCCCAAGACCAATCAAATCGGATGCTCTTGGGGTGGAACTTGTGTATTAGTATTTTTATAAACTTCCCAGGAGATTCTCGTATGCAGGAAAATTTGATAACCAGTGAAGCCACACAGCCCAGTTGATAAATTTCCAAATAAACCGGCTGTACCATTTTGGTTTAAAATTGGCAGTGTGAAGCACATCTGTTTCTATTTTTCAACAACTCTTCTGTAGAAATCGCAACAGAAATGGAAGCTATTCGTTTTAAATAAACAGATAAAGTGTAGAAGGTGGATAATAAGACCTTGAGGTAGGTAACTTCCGTAGTGTCTGCTAGGTTCATGAGTAATTCCTTAAATGCCTTTCTCCTCCATCCATGGAAGAAGATTCTGATGATCACTGGACCAAAGTGGGCCAACTGGGATGCCAAGTCTGGGGTATCTGAGTTGAAATTGAGAGTGAATATTTTTGTGTGGTTGGATGTATGGACTGTGGTTGTCTAAGTGTTCTGGTGGGCGGACTGAGTAGTTGAGAAAATTATGGGGAAAAAGAAGAGAGCAGAGATGGGAAAAATGGATCAGAGGTGAGTGCGAGAGACCACATTTCTAGACTCCCAGGGTAGACATGTCGTTTTGCCTGTTTGGCGTCCCTCTCCATTTTGTTAACAGCACCCTCTTCTTCAGGGACCATTTGCTTCCGTTCCATGTGGTCCTGGGGATAACCGACAAGTCAAGCCTACCAGCCTCTTGCTCCTTGAAGGTGGTCCTGTCATTCTGGTGACCATTGTTGAGAGAAACTGTTAGTTCCTGTTGTAGGATCCCTGGTGCTGATTCCAGTGCCTCCTGGGGTCTGACTGTTCAGTAAGTCTTTGAATTGTGGGATCAAGAGTGTCTATTGTTTGCAATTCAAGAATCCTCACAGAGTTTTCTAGGTCCTAGCACAAATCCATTTGGAGGCCTTGAAGTATCCTGTTTGGGGTGGTTCATGAGGCATTCTTGCATCCTTAAGTATTTTTAGCTCATGATGTTTCTGATATTTGTTAACTACACGTCTTAACTAGTACAGACATTTAATTGATTCCTCTATTTGTGTGGATGGTCCAGAGACTCTTATTTAAGTAGAAACAAGGTTTTCCAAATCCTATTCCAATCTTCAAGGTCATAACCAGCTCTTTTATCATTCTGCAAGCTTTCTGAATCTGCAGGGTTTTTTCCCCCCTCATTTTGTAAGTATGGAGATCTTGTAGAAAAACTCATAACAAAGGTATACTTTCTGAATAATAGGATTAAAAGCTTATCAAACATCAACATGGTTCTAAATAATGTATGATCCTTTGAACAGGAGCCCAAATCGACTCCTGAAAAAAGAGCTCTTATTTCCTCTATCAAGCAACATTAAGTGAAATTATAGTATTGCCATTAAATCCAACTGTACACCAATAATTTTTCATTTCTAATAGTACTCTTCTTTATTAAAAAATCTTTATTAAATAACAAAATATGCCAGCTAATGTAATAAGTACTTCCTTGAGCTCGATATTTATATACTTGGCACACAATTCAAGGCTGGATCTACTTGGATTCAGGAAGCATATGATTTTCTCCTTGTGATGCAGCAAGCAGAGTTATAGTGACATAACCTTAAAGACCAAAGGAAGATTTCTCCATTTCTCCAGGTCCAACTTACAGAAGTGGTGAGGTGTGTAGGGTGTTCATGGGTGACTTCTTGTTAAATTTGGATCCATGGAGCCACATTTGGATCGTATTATTCAAATTCAGAGATAATTGGCAAAAATTTTTTTTAAAGAAAAATATAGAGTTAAGCAGCTTAAGTTATTAACAATGTTGTGATCTCTGGCAAACTCTGGATAAACTATAATGAAATGTAAATAGCAGGGCTGGTGCCAAAAAAGTGTGATCATAAAGTCTGACTAGTTCACAATAATTCCTTTTCTAAGAGTCTAAGAAAAGGTAAATACCATCTAGGAATATTTTGATAAAGAAAGTTGGATAAATAAAAAGAAGCAGTTTAAAAGGTATTCTTCTGGCCCTCATACTTTATTTTTAATACAAATAGATAATAAAATAAAAGGTATCCAGATACCTTTTAAACAAGAATACATTTTCTGTTTATCAAGCCATTATTTACAGATTAACACTGAAAAAATTTTGAATTAATAACTCAATTCATTTACATAAAATTATATGAAATAAACAAAATTATATGTAGGGTGAGCACTAACAAACAAGAACCTATTCAAAGTCCTAAAATCTTGTCTCAGTATTAATTCCTTCACAGTTCCAAAAAATCACATGCATCTACAAAAGGAATGTAGGTAGTCACTGAACGTTACGTACAAACTAACTCCATTTCTCTCAGTTACTTTTGATTCAGTGGGTCTGCCCAACACATACACTATGGTGCCAGCTTAACAGACGCAGAACTGCTATCCTGCTCTACCTGCGGTGGCCAATCTTTGCCCTGGAAGGAGGGATTACACCAACTCATAGTATTTCCCAGTCTGGGGGTCAAAGTAACAGTTCAGACATGGGTCATACAGCAGAGTCAGCACTTCCTCGTCCTCTTCCACACTCAGGTCTTCTTCACCTGTGGGAAGGGAAACCACAGACAAGGTTAGCTGCTGGCCTGGTCCCGAATTCTTAAACTGCAACAGAGAAAGGCAAGGAAGCAGGAATCACCATCTCTCCTG